GTTTAATCAAGGTGTAGCTCCCGGTCAGAACTAAGAATAAGCTGCCAGTGATGAGGCTTGCATTTTGATAAGAAAACTGAGAGACTCATATGACTTCGCTTTGTCCTTGCCCAAGAGCGACACACATCCTGGCAGATGCAGAGATTCTTAGGCCAAGTGATTTGTTCTCTCTTAGCGAGATGAGGAGGGCGAGGGAATATCTTTCATCAGACTAAACTCAGTTGATGAGACAAGTTTCGAGCCATACAGAGCTCTCCTTCAGGCCTCTCGAGAGTTTAGTTTGAATGGACACCCCTTACACAGTTTTCAGGGACATACGTCGGCATGTTAGTATACAAGAAATAGAAATGAGGGTATAGGATTTTATTTCCCTCTCTGAATTCCCACTTTTCTAACAGACTCCTGGGAGCTAAGGCTGCAGGTGCTGGCTTTAGCAATTTGCCACTCAACAGCTGGATTTCCTGCAGTGTCTTTCTCTCTGTCATCTTAGGTGACTGGATGAGTGCTCTGCTACTATAACTCAGGTAATTACTAGATGACAATTTATAGCCTGCTAATGCAGAGCTATGACATATCTTAGGCCATATCCTAAAGCTCATTCAAATGGAGCCAGTGTAGCACTCTATGGGTTAAAAGATATCAATGAAGGGGGGCAAAGATCTCACTGGAATGATTCCAGCAGACTATTTGGCCTGCAAAGTCTAGCATCGTCCTACATTCCCAACTAGGAGTGGCTGGTGTTTGGGAAAGCAAACATCCACAGGCAATTAATAATTTATTTTGATGTCTGTCCTAGGGAAATGGGCATTGAGCAGGATGGAAGAATTCACCTCACTGTAGTTTACTTTGGAAAAGAACAAATGAACGAAGTAAAAGCAATCCTTGAAAACACCTCCAAGTGAGTATGGGCGTCTAGTGAGGTTTGCTCCTCTCACTGCTGAGAGCCCCACGAGCCAGATTGCCTTTTCTTAGCACTGTCAGCGGGGAGACAGGTCATCCTGCCCGCCTTGGGTCAGTTAGAAACGGCATCACTGTGATCCTCCCTGATCTGCCTTTGTGAATTTAGGCCATGTCTTCACTACACGGGAAGGTTGAGTTAAGAGATGCAAACTCCAGCTACGTTAATTAAATGGATGTACCTTAATTTGAGTTTCCGCAGTCTCCACAGCGGGCAGACTCTGGGAGTAAACACTGCCATCAGCATCCCATACTCCTCAGGAAGAGCAGGACCACCGGAGCCGATGGGGGCACCCTCTGAGTTTGATTTAGCGAGACTTTACTAGACCTGCTAAATCAGCGATCCGCAACGCAGTGCCCATGGGCGCCATAGCGCCCGCCGGGGCATTTATGTGCACCTGCCGAATGATCTCGGCCAGCCCTGCCCTGAGCGCATGGCGCATGCATAGTGCTGGCCCCGGGCGCACGGTGCATGGGCGGCCCCTGCTCTGGGCACGCGGCACATGCGCGGTGCTGGCCCTGGACGCGCGGCAGCCCCAAAGGTTGGGGCCCACTGTGCTAAATCAAACTCCGGAAGATCAGTCGTGGCAGTGTTGATCTTCCACCTAGTGAAGACATGGCCTCAGATTCATGGGCTCCTCTTTTAACATCTGTAACAACGATCAGTCCTGAATTCCTTTAATCTTTGCATGAACAGCTTCTCTCTGTTGGCAGTGAAGCTTAACTTGGAGAAAATGCATGTAGGCTGGGATTTTCAATCATGCCATAGGGCATTAGACACCTACATCTTATTGAAGTTCAAAGGCATTTGGGCACCTAACCCCTTTAGGACTTTTGAAAATCCTGGCCTGAAATGTTTCTTGCACATAGTGAACAGCCTCTTTCCTTTTCTTTACCTTTATTATGAGATGGCATTTTTATAAGAAAATTAGGAAATGTGGAGCAGATAAAATTACTATCAGGTGGGTGCACAACTGGTTGAAAAACTTACTCTAAGAGTTATCAATGGTTTGCTGTCAAACTGTGAGGAAGCCTTTAGTGGGCCTAACAGCAGTCTGTCCCAGGTTCAGTGTTAAATAGGGCTTAAATTCAGCCGGAGCTATCCAGAGCAGAGCTCTAGTAAATATTTTGAAACCCTGACACCCTGAGCCCTGGCACCTCCCATGGGGAGAGCTGGAAATTCCTCTTTGAGAGTTTAAGCCCTGGTACTAGTCAATATTTCCACAAATGATTGTAATAATGGAGTAGAGAGGATTATTGTGGCTCACACATCGAATGAGTCAACAATGTGATGCTGTTGCGAAAAAACCCAAATGCCATTCTAGGATAGAATAACAGAAGCGTCATATATCCGACATGGGAGGTCACTGTCCTATTATATTCAGCATTGGGGAGACCTCACCTGGCTTCACCTGACCAGGCCTGTGACTGTTTTGGGGCACTTTGCTTTAAGAAAGATGGAAACATTGGAGAGAGATCAAAGGAGAGTAACAAAAGAAAAAGAGAGACATTTTTGTTAACAAGCCCTAGGAGGAGAGTGTGAAAGAACTGGGCATGTTCCTGTAGAGAAGGGAAAGTGGAGGGGAGTCTGTTGTATTAAGTTAAATGGAATAAAGGGGCCCAAAATGTCAGAGGTCTGTAACATGACCCTATCACTGTCCACCATTAAACCACATTAAACAAGGTTTAGGATTGGATCTACAGAGGTCTTGGCCTCGTTCGTACCATGGCAAACACACCAATAAACAGCTCTTAACCTTTTATTAAAGCTGAAAAGAAAAGAAATGGCTAGAATATTTTAAATGGTAAAGTATGATGCAAGGCTTTCATTGTGACCATGTCCCGTGTTCCTTTCCCTTTAGCTGGAGAGCTGTTTAGAAAGAGAGAAAAGTAATAGCTGTTCTCCTTGGAGAAAAGAGATGAAATTCACTGGCGTGGGCTGGAGCTGTTTGATGCTATTGTTTTCCAAGTTTCATTCTATTTCTTAAAAGACAAGACAGACACAGGCAAAGGGAACAGCAAAGATAGAAAATGCAGCTTTTGTCTAGAGTGTTGACTCTGGCTGGCAACCTGGCTACTGGAAAAACACAGGCACCGCCCATGGTCTGATCAGCCGCTCTGAGACCAGGCAAACTCGTACCATCGGGCTAGTTAGGGCATTGCATTTAGCTGCCTATCTCAGCAGGATCCCAAAAAGCTTCTGACTAAGCCAAATTCTTATTAGACAGACGGACAGAAAGGAAAAGGAGAGGGGATAGGAACAATGGGGATGATAACATCTTCCTATCTCTGAGGAGCTGAGGAGCAGTACTTTAAAGGTGGTGAGGTGCTCAGATTGTATGGAGAAGACAGCCTGATAAATACAATAGGAAGATCGTTGTTACCAGAATTAATTCCCTATTTCTAATGAGTTTGTCAGTGTACTAGAACACTTGCTTTAAACACCCGCCTGCTCAGTCCAACGGAGATGAAAGCACTGTGTTCTTCCAGATTGTATTCCATGGGGATTTTTGACAAATCCCTATTTGTTCACCTATTTTTTAAGCTCCTTGGGGGACACACTGCACACTTCTCTGGCTCTTGTGCAGCTCCGGCTACTCCATGCTTAACAAACGCTAAGTGATAACAATTAAAGGGAGTAATCCCACCATTTGGAGTCAGCAGCTATATGTACAACCGGAGAATGATGATGCAGCGGCTTTGGTGTCCAACACAGATGGGATGACAAAGCAGACAAATGAGTCTCTTGTAAATGTGATTTATCACCTTGGAGGGTTTTTCCATCTAATGAAATCAGTCACTTCCCACCTTCTGTGTCCTGATGGCTAATTAGAGCCTGGGGATTTAACCAATGTGCACCATCAAAGTGCTGATTAACGACCCTAAAATAATTGAAGATGATCACTTTTGGCACCCTTCCAGAACTTCAGTGCAGATTCAGATGTTAGTGATTCTGTTGTTGTGGATCATGCCAGCTTTCAGCGCAGAGGCTTCAGGAAAAATAGGGAAATGGCTTGTGGACCAGGAGTTGCAGCCAATAGCCATACGCAGCCTGTCCGGGACTGTATTAGAAGCTGGCCTGTCCTTAGGATTTATGGGTCCAGCGCGGTTCTATTACAATGGTGCCCCCATGGCCAGTGACGTCGGGGCGGGGGGTGATTTTGAGAGCTGTGATTTTATCATCTTCAGCAACACAGTAATGAAATAGTTTTAAGCAACTTTTAAAGGAAGGTCCTGTAACCTAACACAGCCAATTCAGAAATGGACAATCCAGACCTGGGCTGTGCAGTGCCTGTCAGACGGCTTCCTTACCCCTTGAATGGCTCTTTCCCAGGATCCATGTTCTGCTCACAGCTCTGGCAGGCGTGTCACTTGTAAATTAACCAGATCCTCGCTGGAGGAAGCAGAGCCACAGGCCAGGCCGGCCTTAAAGGAAATGGCGCCCTGGGCAAACTTGTATTTTGGTGCCCCCGACCCCTGTGGGCACAGCCCCACCCATTTCCCGTGGCTCCCCAACCCCTGCATCTCCATCTTGTGCCCCCTCTACCACTAGCCTCTGCATTGTACCCACTCTGCCCCTAACCACTGCACAGTGCCCCTTCATCCCCACCCCTGCCTTTCCTCCCACCTGTGCCCCCTACCCCAACCCTGCACTTCCAGCCTGTCCCACCACACGGCCCCCTGCCCAGCACCCTCCACCCCTTTGCCCAGCAACACCCATGTCCAGTTGCCCCTCACCCTCTAGCTACAGTGCCCTGGGCCCGGGCCCAGTTTGCCCAGCCCTCAGCTGGCCCTGGACACAGAGCAGGGATAGGAAGAGGCAGGTGGGTGGACATTAAGACCAGTGGTGCCCCACTCAGCTCCATAGTCTACATACGAGTAAGGGCAGCCCTGCTAGAAGGGGGTGTCTGCCTGAGTTCGTTCTGTTTGAGCTAGACCGTGCTGCTCTTGTAGCGCTTGGACATTCCCCCGGCTCTCAGTCCACACGCTTGGGTGAACTTCTTACCCTTTGTGTTGCACTTTGACTTCTCAGCCAGCCTTCGAGGTGCCATTGCTAGCTCAGCGCATAGGTTTGCGGTGACTTCACGAGCCCTGTGCCTTCACCCTGTAAAGACTGGGTTTTCAAAAGCTCGTTGGTCTCAGTGGGAGCTGCTGGGTGCTGAGCACATGGGAAAATCTGCCCCATACCTTATGTTCCTGCTTTGGTATTGCATGAAGGCCCAGTTTTCAGCAGTGCTGAGCACCCACATCTCCGGCTGAAGCAAGTGGGAGCTCGGGGCACTCAGCTCCCATGAAGAGCAAACTGTGGAGTCCAGCAATAACAGCCCAGCAGCACCGAATCTCAGACCTCAGGTCATCTGACTTGGGCTCGTGAGGCTCAGGCTACAGGGCTAAAACAGCCGTGTAGGTATTTGAGCTCAGGCAGGGTGGGATCTGGACTCAAACCTGGCGAGGGGGCAGGTCTCTGTCTATACTGCTACTTTTGGCCCAGCAGCCCAAGCCCAGCTAGCCTGAGTCAATGAACTCTGAGACTCTTGTGAGTCTCTCGCTACTGTTACCTTTGGGTAAACACTTGTTCCCAAGAGCTCAGTTTGCCCATCGCATGCCTGCCTTCTCTTTCACGCATGAGCTGTTGAAATAATCGGTTTTTCTCGGCTAAGCCGAGGGCTATCAGACCACAAGCAGCAAATCCATGCTAGGTTTCTCAAGCTGGTTGGATTTGAGCCAAGAGCAGTTTTAAGGAATACAGAGTAGCTGTGTCTACATTGGTGCAATCTTGTGCAAAAGCAGTTGCTTTTGCGCCAAAACTTTTTGCCTGTCTACACTGGCCACAAGTTCTTGCGCAAGTACACTGACGTTCTAATGTATGAAATCAGGGCTTCTTGCACAAGAACTATGATGCTCCCGCTCAGGAAGAAGCCCTCTTGTGCAACTGTTCTTGTGCAAGAGGCAAGTGTAGACAGGCAACAGGAATTTCTTGAGCAAGAAAGCCCTATGGTTAAAATGGCCTTCAGAGCTTTCTTGCACAAGAGAGCATCTACACTGGCATGGATGCTCTTGTGCAAAAACACATGCCAGTGTAGACGCTCTCTTCTGGAAGAGTTTTTGCACAAGAACTCTTCCGCAAAAGAATTCTTGCGCAAGATCGTGCCAGTGTAGACGTAGCCAGTATGTACAATAGCTGTGTTTATCTGGAGGCTGAGCCAAGTCCATACATGCAGTAGAAGGACTCCCGTTGGCTTCCATGAGTTGTGGATCATGACCTGGTTTAAGATTTTTAAATCGAGCTCAGGTACATTTTATTTGATTTTTAGGAAGTGGTATTTAAAGAACATTAACGCAAATACAATGATATCTCTGCAAATAGGAGTGAATATCTCTTTAAATTTTTTTTTTAAATTTACAAATTAGACATAAAATAGCTAGATGATTGTTTTATTAAAATGGGATAGAACTCCTTCTCTCTTACCACTGTTTGCTGGTTCCCTTCACAGCCTATTCATATTACCCTGGAAATACAACAAAAGGCCCTTCTAAGTAGAAGATCAGAGTTACAGATTATATTCCCTAGCATATCAGAACTTCAGCCTCTGTCCCTCCATTTTAAGTAGATGTCATTCAGTAAATACAATGACTATAATGAAGAGTTGACTCCCCCTTTGGTCTCTTAAAACTCACCTCACACACTGCTGCTCCTCCTAGATCAGCTAACTTCAAGAATTTCACCTTTATCCAGCTGAATGAAGAATTTTCGAGAGGGAAAGGATTGGACATAGGTGCTCGTGTTTGGAAAGGAAGCAATGTGGTTCTCTTTTTTTGCGATGTCGATATATACTTCACAGCCGAATTCCTGAACACTTGTAGACTGAACACGCAGCCAGGTATGGCAACCCCGGGCATTTACTCCTTTAAATGGACTTCTTTGTATTGTGTAATAACTTTCACCAATTTGTTCTTCCTTGTGCGTGGGTAAGCAGGTTATCGTAAAGCACTGACATTCAGCTTGGTTAAGGCTTGCTGAAGAGGAAAGGCCTACATTTCTGATTGTCTAAAATATGACTGAGTGAAAAGGGAAAAAAAGTCAGCTTCCACAATGATTGAATTTCTTGCCTTGTTTTCTGGAGCCCATTTTCCAGCCAAACCACAACACTCTGAGATTGCAGACCTTATCTAAAACCCAGGGAAGGCAATGGAAGTTTTTCTGTGGACTTGAATGGCATTTCAATCAAGCCCTAAGTCTGTCTCCAATGTTAGAGAAGCACAAGTTTAATCTAATTTTAGAGCATCAGACAACTTCCTCAGTAATAACTTTCTTTTTTAATCTATTGTGATTTCTAGGGAAGAAAGTATTTTACCCAGTTCTTTTCAGCCAGTATAACCCAAGTATAATTTATGGGCACCACAGTTCCATCCCATCCTTAGAGCACCAGCTGGTAAGTAACTGGCTCTAAAAATGCATGCTTTAAACAGTGCATGAAATGCCCCCTCCAGGATGACGTCTGTGCTGAGAACTCGAATTTCACTCTCCTGTGTCCAGTGAGATGTGGTGGGTTATTATTGAGTCCAGGGCATTCTGTGGTCATGCTTCACACTCTAGCAACTTTACCTTTAAAGCAGGGGTGGGGAACCTAATTTGGGTTGGGGGGCTGCTGACCCATAGGAAAAGCCAGACGGGGTAGCACGCAAGTGAGAAGCAAAACCAAACCAAAAAAACCTCATCACTGGCGTGGCCCCTAGGCCCCCAACTGAGGGGAGAGACATTCCCCACATTCCCCTTGCACACCAGAGCCTAGGGGTGCCCAGTAGGTTTTGTGTGCTCCAGGCCTGCAGTGGGTCAGTGGAGGGGCTGGATCCAGGCAAGCCGGGGGCCAAATCTGACCCCCCCCCCCCCCCGGCATAAGGTTCCTGACCCCTGCCTTAAAGCATATTTGTATTTACATTTGTAAATTAAGAATTTAAACACAGTCTGTTGGCCAGAAGCTATCTTATGTTGGCCACTTTCCCCTTCGAGGAGCATATGGCGTTGGGACTACCAAAATCTGCCCTGGCCGTAGGGTATGTCTACACTGCAAGGCTATTTCGGGATACTGGAGGTATCCAAAATAGCTACCCTGCATCCAAGGAACGTGCCTGTTATTTTGAAATATTTGAAATATTTTTTGAAACAACGGATGCTCTATTTCGCCATCCCTGTAAACCTTGTTGCAGGAGGAATAAGGGATTACTCAAAATAGCACTTTATTTCAAAATTTGGTGCCATGTAAACATGCCAGATTTCGAAACAGCCTATTTTGAAAAAAAATCAAAATAAGATAAACAATGTGTAGCGCAAATTGCATATCTTATTTCAATTTTAGAGTGCAGTGTAGACATAGCTTTAGCTTCCTCACCTCTTTAAGGAAATAAGCCTGTTTCCCTACCTCTTGCTTTGTGAGGCCAAGTGATGTCCATAAAGAGCTGAGAGCTGCTTGGACTGATGGTGCAGGAAGGTAACTAATCACTGGAACAGACTCCCAAGAGCTGGAGCGTGGATTCTCCATCACTTGAGGTTTAAATTGAAATTGCCTGTCTTGAAAAGCAAGGCTGTACCTCGACGGCAAGGTATTGGACTCAGTGCAGCGATTGCTGGATGGGGCTGTGGCTCTGCAGGAGGTCAGATTTGATCTGATCTTAATGGTTCCTTCTGCTTTTAACATGTGTGGGCCAGACCTTCCGCAGGTGTAAATCACTGTAGCGTCATTGACTTCAATCCGGCCCCAAGAATGAATAAGGTCAAAAAGATGTTATTTTAAAATGCTGTTTGGCAGGTTCCCACCTGGAACTGGGGCACCCCTGAGTCCTGGGGTCCCTTTGTACCAGGGGCAGGTAAAATGCCCATCAAGCTACCAAATTCGGCCTGCAGGACCCTTCATCAGGCTCCCTGCCTGTCCTGCCCCGGGTCTGTGCTGCGTGCCCAGGGAAAAGGGGGGAATAGTTATATAACTGATAATATTTGATGTGGTTACATGACTATTCAGTTAATTGCTATCTAACATCCCTACTCCACCCCCTCCCTCCCCCCAGCCCTCTGCCCCCTCCTGTACCCCTTCCCCATGTAACCCAAACCCTATGCACCTGTACCCATACCCCCTCCTGGACCTTGCACCCCAATCCCCTACCTCTGATCACAACCCATATCCCTGCACCCCCTCCTGCACAGCTCCTCCAGGTCTCAACCCCCTACCAGACCTTGCACTCCCTCCTCCACCCCAGTCACCTGCTCCAGGCCACAAACCCCTTCTTCACCCAAACTCTCTCCCCGATCCCACACCCCAATCCCTTCCCCCACGCTCCCTTCTGCATTCATCTTCCACTCTAGACCCACCTCCTCTATTAGTATCATGGAAGAGTGCAGCCTTGACCACTTACCTAATTCTTGGAGTGCCCCCTCCATTAAAAATTATTGCGCACCCCTGCTTTACACTGCACTGCTTTCACGGCGCACACAGAGGCAGGGACACACCCAGCTGTAATTACATACAGATGCGGTGATCAGCCCAGCATGAGAAGAGTCCGACTAAGGAACTTTCCAGCCTCTCAGGCACATTTACCTCTCTCTGGTGAAACCCAAGTGTATACCATCTTGCACTGCTCAAAACCTGTACAGCATATGCTCATGAAAGTCACTTCCTCCCTCAGTGTGGAGAGTATTACAGAACAGGTTTCTGAGGTGAGTTATGACTCCCACACACTGGTTTTAGACAAGGCAAAAACAACTTTAACAACAAACGATAGATTCTAAGGCATTATAAAGGGATAGCACACAGACCAAAGCAGATTACCCAATAAATAAAAATGTGAGCACACGGTAAGGATCTACTTTTCGTATATGAACAGTAGATCCTCACCGTATGAGGTGATAAAAACAGGCTGCAGATTCTTAAGGGTCAGCCGCACTGGCGTACAGCTGGGGATCCCCCAGTGTACCATGCACAGGCTAAAACCCCCTTAAACCTGTGTACAGCACTTCCCCCAGTTCAATTCAGTCTTTGTTCCTCGGGTGTGTCGGGGTCTCTTTGGTTGGGGGGGAGTCAGTGAACGATGTCATCCCTCCCCTGCCTTTATATAGTGCTTCCATAGGGAGGGAATCTTGTTTCGAAGCTCGGTTCCCACACCCGTCAGTGACAAAATACTGAGAGATACCAAGATGGGAGTCCAGCAGCAGGTGACCCGGCCAGATCATGTCACAGCAGTCATGACTCGGAGGCTGCCTGCAGTGTCCTCAGGAAGGCCCCCAGAGGAAGTTAAACTTCTAAGGCCTGTTATTTTTTCTAATCACCCTTCCCCACCCAGCTTTTCAGAATAAAAGCACCTTATCTCGTGGGCATTTCCCAGGTGTAGACACATTTGCTATACAGTGCCAGTGTCAATATTTCTCACTTCAGATCCATGCGTACAAACAGGACAGTCATTCAGCAAATCATAACCTTTTCAATGCTATCTTACACAAAATACATTATCCTTGTGCCATAATCATATCATCTCTAATCATCTCCCTCTGAAGAACAGGGGTGTGGTGTCACACTGATCTTAGGCATGCAGGGTTGCAGCCAGGTGTTTCTGGGAAGATAATTTGGGAAGGAGCAGAGTGTAGGGATGGGAGTGACTCCTCTCCAGAGAAGTGCCTTTGCTCGGCCCAGAAGCTTTGCGTTGCAGCACAGTTCTGGAAGTAGGCAGCAGCAGTCCGTGTCTTGTGCACTCTTGCTTGGCCATGTGCTGATGTTAAAGGAGGTGCTTGAGAATTGTGCATATACAGTCACCATGCTCCTGCTTCTCTCTAAAGATCTTATCCTGCTGGATCCCCACCTTTCAGCCCACACACCCCGCGCCCTGGCCTAAGGTGACTCATGCAGCTCATCAACTCAGAGCTGTAGAATCCAGGGATTAACAAGATTTGTGGCTTTGGCTAGATTCTCCTTTGCTTGGGTCCTTCCTAACTGTAGCTGGTGGAGGCCTTCGTTGCTTGCCAGAGCTCATGCCACCTCTGTCTCAGACTTCAGTGTATCGGAGCCTACTCTCATACAGGAATTGTTTGAGGTATCAGTGAGGGCCCAAAAAGATACAGGGTGCACTCTGTTGCAATGCTTAATGTTCTTAGGCACCTAACTCTTACTTTCAGAAGTAATTTAGGCACTCACAAACCTAAATCCCATCAACTGAATGAGATTTTGGTTCAAGTCCCTAAATCCCTTATGAAAAATGAGATTTAGGCTCTTAAATCCATTAGGCATTGCACCACGGCAGCTCCTTTACAAATCTTAGCCATGAAGGAGCACATGCCCCCTTGACTTTGCCTTTTGCAAAGGACTGCAGGTGTTTTAAATCCTTTCCTGCTATTACCAGATTTAACCGGTCAGAGATATTCAAAAGTGGTCAACAGGATCAGGAGACACTTATCAGCTGTAGGGTGGAAGAATAAAATAGGGTTTGTTTACAAAGCAGACAATTTGTGTGATGAACAGAAAAAAGCTTTTTCCCCATTGACAGTGGGATCAGTGAACAGACAACAGATGTGTGAAACTATTCCATGTAAATATCCTCTGTATTATCAACACGAGAACTTGGACAATCCTTTAACCTGCTTATTCCTAATAAAATCTTTCCTGATACGGCTGCTGAATTCACACTAGCACTTATCTTTCTGCTGCAGCCTGGCCAGAGAACCCCAAGCTTGTGAACCATTTGTATAGGAAAGGAAACAAACATGTTGTTATAAGACTGAAGTTAAACCCGACTGCACAAATATTTATAGCCAACCTCAGAATTGTGCATTGTGATGCCCACGTTGGAGAAGCGTCTTGATTTAAAGAAGAGAAATTGCCAGTACAATTTTATTTAGTGAATCATATTTTCAGCCCAGATTTCTTCCTGGGCAAATGGCCAGATCAGAACCATTAAAACAAGAACTCTGTTGGCTGCCTCCCATGCTGCTTGCGCAGCTGAGAAAGCACCTTCGTAAAGCTTTGAAAGAGATTGATTTGTGCTGTAGCTGCGAGTTTGAATGGGAAATTATTGTGCTAATGCAGACAAATAACTTGCCAGAAAGCCACTGCTAGGGCGATTGCCTGTCACAGGGCAGCCTTGGAACAGTGGCTTCCTAGTGCCTATCAGTGGGCTTGCCGATCATGGCTTTGAAAAGGGAAAAAGCGAGGTCAGAGATAGGGATATGAAAGGTTAACCGGTAAGCATCACCAGTCCCACTTAGCCAGTGGGGGCAGGAGCAGCTCCCCGCCTGCCAGGGACAAGGGCTTGCTCCAGCCCTACAGGGCCCACCACAGATGGGCTGCTCTAGGCCAGGGGTGGGCTGGAGTGACTCCCCCAGCCCCTCTTTAATCAGTTAACCAATGGGATGGGATTTTACATCGCTAATCAGAGATGGCTGCAGTAGTGGCAGAACAGTAAAAGGAGCAGGACTCAAACAAGAAAGGGCTAGCACTGAAAATGGGCACACGAGAAGAACCAGAAGGGTGCTCCGTGCTCAGTGGGGCTTGCAATCAGGGGTGGATTCCCAGCTCGGTCACAGACATCGTATGCAACCTTGGGCAGGATTTTCAAACACAGGCGTGTAATCCCAGGACCTTCTGTAGTTGGCCTCATTTTCCAAAAGCACTGAGCACTTGGCAGCTCTGCTTGACGTCAATGGGCACTGCTGGATGCTCAGCACTTGACAATTTCAAGGCACTTACTTAGGCTACTCAGTGCAGATTTAGGACCGTAACTTTAGATCCTTGTTTTGAAGATCTTGGTCTTTGCCTCCATTTGCCATCTGTAAAATCAGGACAGGGACACCTGGATTTGTCTATCAGTGTTGACTGTTAGCCCTTGGGGGCCGGAGCTGGGCACTGCATGTCGGTACAGTGCCAGGCACCATAGCACTCTGAACTTCGCTAGCACCTCTGGTCCCTGCTGGATTTCAAATAATATTTCAGTCTCATTGGCTTCCCTAATGTCTTATGTCCATTTGTAGAAGGTTTTAAGTCATTTCGTTCTGCCAGCCAAATTGCCTCTGTGGCACATTAGAACTGCGTCTTTTAGAAGAGCCCTGCAGTCGTTTGCTAGCGCATCACTCTTGTAAACTAATCAAAAGGTGCCACACATCTGCGACTGGCTCACTTGGTGCTGTATTAATACATTCCCAAGACCGATTCAGATCCTGTGGAAACTAGCTGTCATTTAGCATAACAACCTTCCTGCTCATGAGAGTAATCTTCCAAAGGTGACTCTCATGACGCAGGCTTTTCCTGAGTCTGCAGAGAGACACCCTGAAACAATAGGCCTGAGAGCCGTGGGCTGTCTGCATTCAGCTCAGTGGAATGGTAACGCTAATAACTGATGATGACATTCGCTGACTCTGCCACTGTTGCAATTAAAGCTGGGTCAGGCCCTTATCCACTGGCGGGGTATGATGCAGGTGGGATAGAACCAAGTGAGGTGGCTGCCCCCATTCCTATCCACCCTCTTTTGCTCAGGTTACAGGTTCTACAGCTGTAATATACATGCTCCTTTTCCCCCCAGGTTATAAAAAAGGAAACTGGATTCTGGAGAGACTTTGGCTTTGGAATGACATGTCAGTACAGGTCCGATTTTATCAACATAGGTAAGAATGTGCACTTAAATAAGCCTGCTTTAGAAAGGCTGGTTCAGATTCTCTTCGCTGATGCAGTCCTTTTGTGCCACACCCCTGGGAAGGGGGCGTGGTCTAAACGCTGATGTACTGTGGCTATTCCTAGCTGCCATCTGGGACCCTCCCCCTGGCATACAGCTCTGTCCCCCACCTCCATAGCAGCCCACACAAACAGAAGCACCTTACAGAATACCCTGAGGTCAACACCTTGGGGTAGTGCAGCCCAGGCGGAGAAGCTGGAGCACCAGCCCTCCAGCAAGAACGTTCTGCCTTTGATTTCAGCGGGAGTTTCTGAAAATCAGAGGAGTTTCTGAAAATCAGAAATGCAAATCACAGGCAGAAACTTTTGTTCTTGGCTTTCATGGCTGACTTGCTTTCTGCCCTGGCTTTGCAGAGGTCAAGGCTTATCAAGGAAACTGAGCATGAACAGAAAGTGCTGCTTGATGCAACCACAAAGCACTATGGGAAGAGACTTCTAAAAAGTTGAGACCTTTGGGCGTGTTTGCAGAAATTAAAATCAGAAATGCAAATCACAGGCAGAAACTTTTGTTCTTGGCTTTCATGGCTGACTTGCTTTCTGCCCTGGCTTTGCAGAGGTCAAGGCTTATCAAGGAAACTGAGCATGAACAGAAAGTGCTGCTTGATGCAACCACAAAGCACTATGGGAAGAGACTTCTAAAAAGTTGAGACCTTTGGGCGTGTTTGCAGAAATTGGTGTAAATGTAAAGCGTGCCAGAGCGAAGAGCTGGGGTGGAAAGAGACAGGAGAACCCTAACTGTACAAACTCACTGGGGTCGGAGACAGCTCTGAATAATGGTGCAGAGTATGAGTTGCTGTAGGGTGCAATGCATTGGTTTATTTTGTCCTTCATACGACTGCCAAGTTAATTCCAAATGGCCTGCAGACGTCAGACTGGGAAGGGTTGGCAACTTGGTCTTCTCTAACCTCACTAATCATTGTGTGATTTTTTTTTTTTTTCTGGCCAGGAAAACGGTTCATGTAACTGCTCATTTGTAACAGTGGTGTGAGAGGTGCTAATGTAGTTCTAGGCTTCCAGGAGAGATGATTTTCCTGGTTGCATTTTCCATGGAAAGGCCATCTATTTCTAGAATTCATTCTTTCTCATTTTTTTTTCGCACAAGGTGGCTTTGATCTGGACATCAAAGGCTGGGGTGGAGAAGATGTACACCTCTACCGCAAATACCTTCACAGCAACCTTATCGTGGTCAGGACGCCTGTCCGGGGCCTCTTCCACCTCTGGCACGAAAAGCACTGCCCAGACGAGCTGAGCCCGGAGCAGTACAAGATGTGCATGCAATCCAAAGCTATGAATGAGGCTTCTCATGGCCAGCTGGGGATGCTCGTCTTCAGGCATGAGATTGACGCTCACCTACGCAAACAAAAAACCAGCAGCAAAAAGCCATGAAGCCAAACCCAAGAACTGGTTGGTTGTATTTCCAAAAAGACTGTAGCTGCTCAAAGAGAATAGGAGTGTGCACAAGCTGGATCAGAAAAGCTGGAGCTGGCAGAAAAAGGAAGGCAAAAGGAAATGCTCTCCCCTTTTCTTTCCTCCCTTAGCAGCTTTTGAATATGCCATTTAGCTTGCTTTCCCGTGCTGGCTCGAGCCAGGGAGTTGGCGACAAAGGCAAGGTGAGAAGAAAGATTTTAGAAACCAGGAGCTTGTGTTCAATTCTTGTGCTGCCCTAAGAAAGGGTGTGTTGCATTCCATTGAAATATCCCCAGGTGGTGACAACACCTGCCTTGATCCTGCAAAGACTTGTGTCCATCTTTAATGTACTCTAGTGGGGTTGCTCCCACACACAAGTGTTGGCAGGATTGGGCTTAGCGTGACCTTTGTATTCAAAAGGGAGGAATGATTTTAGGTGTCCACCTTGCCACACCTAAATGGGGCCTGGTTTTCAAAAAGCACAGAGCACCTGCTCTTAAAAAAAAAATAACCTCTTTAAATGTGGCTTAAGGAGCACACCCAAAATGAGTAGTTGCATTTGAAAATGTGGGCCAGTCTTGAGTAGACAGACACAGTCACATTTAGTTTCATAGACAGGAGCATCTAGGACAAGGCTGTCTAGAATCTAGAAAGATAAAGATCTACGTAAAATATGAAATTCCAAAATGCTAGAGCTGGTGTTATACCCTACTCTCTACGTTAAACCAAAAATGAAAAGCCATAGCTTGGAATTTTCTGCAGACTACTCTTACAACATGTTTGGTTCTAGAGAATGTTAAGTATATCTGGCTTGGTTTGTTTTACAGTCAACTTGTTTTGCATGTGAGTTATTTTGTGCAGATGTAAATTTCCTACTTCAGGCCTTAGTTAGAAATAGCACAACTTTCCTGTATGTTTTGAAAATGGTTTGCAGTTTAGATCATAGATCCATAAATAGAGCCATTTCTCTCACCCGTGAGGTGCTTATCCTGAAATTGGCTAGCAGGCTGAAATGCATACCTTCTTTATTGGAAGTAGTGTGACGAGAATTCATTTATCAAAAGAAGAACATGAGTACTGAAATGAAGAACTTTTTTTTATTCCACTAGAAAAAGGAACATTATCTGCAATCCTGATTTAATGAATGACTCTGAATAACAAATGCTGTAGATACCAAAATGAAGGGCCTCTTTGTGACTTGTTTATACCAAAGTATTCAGTATAAACCAAATCTAGCATTTTACCCAGTGCATAGTGGAGTCTGTAAGTGCTATAAGAAATATTTCTATGAAGGATTAATTGGAGCCTCTGATACTCAGTGTTCCTAAGTGCTTCCCAGAAATTGATCTGCTTTTTAAGAGCTTTGTTTGATAGTTGCCTCTAGCACTGTTCAGATATTTTATTGAAACCATAAACTATTTTCTTTTAATGCGGTTGTTTCTTTTGGCATTTTAATTTGTATTAGCCAACAACAGATGCATGGGCTAATGTTTGCTTTCCTCCTGTTTTCCTATCATTTCATTGTTCAGTAGCTTCAAATTCTTTCAAGCCATTTGGGATATGAATGGGGTTGTCACTATTTGTGCATTACCATAAGGAAAGCCAGGGGAAGGAAGAATGTCAGGCAGTACAGTAACAATGAATAAAATAGGGTGTATGTGGACATCGGGTAGTAGGCATACTGCCCCCTACCTTTGTGAAACATTCTTTGGCAGAGGACACACACTGAAAACACCTTATTGTAAGTACCTTCTTTTACTTGATATTCTAGAAGTTATGCTCAACTTTTTAAAACTTGTTGGGTTCTGTGAGATGAGACCATCACCCACAGCTGTCAGCCTCTCGAGCTAAAGAGGCACTATTCAAATCTTTAGCCCTAGAATCTCACCTGCCTTTAAATGTGGGGTGGAGAAATATTGGTTGGAAGACTCTAGATTCTAAATAGCTAATCTTAAAAAGGGGGGAGTGCTGTAATTCTTAGGCCCTACAAAACTCTTTGAAATTCTTCCCTTATCAAAAGTGTGTGTAAGCATGCTGATACTGCATGGCCAGACACACAAGACTCCTGCTTTCAAATCTATGAAGATACGATTGATAAATCCATGCACTGAATCAACAGGCTTATTTAAATCCCACCCCTTGTACACAGCAGCGGTCTCCCAGAAACTGACTCAAAACTAGGTGCAGTGTCTGAGTGCCTCAAGCGCCTGTTCCCCACTCCTCCCACCATGTGATTGGCCTGGCATTCCTACCTTGCTTGTGCCCTGCACAAGCTTTAATCCGTCCCTGCCCTGGCATAACATCTTCATCCAGCCCCTTTCACACCGTGACAAGCAGAGCTTTCAACAACACTGCTGTAATCCTTGGCCGCAGAAACCGTTTCAATCACTCTGTTCTTTCCACAGTGGCTCACTGCCCCCTGAGCCCTGAATTAATGATAAGGGAAGGAAGGGACCGTGCTGTTCTCTTGAAGCTGCGATTAATTACAAGCAGCTGGAAAGTACAGCTTGCCCCACTGGAGAAGTGAGATAAAGCAAGAATGGGAAAGGCACCCTTGTTAATTACAGCCCTCCTACTGGGAATGCCTGCTCTTGGTCTTCAGGGCCTGAACCACTGAGCCTTTCACCTAGGTTCACGACAGAACACACACTGAATTGTGGGCTAAATAAATGGTCCACGAATAGAGCCGGTGCTACAAGGATCCACCTAGCCTCCCTGCATCGATGCTGTTACATCACATTGCTCTCAGCCTTGTGTGCTGCAGTGGGAGCTCTGTGAGGGGAAAAACCATCTCAACAAGCTGGAGGCAGAACCCCTGTGCTAGACCAGGAGTGCACCTTACACAGGAAACCTCTGGTTACGGCTGTGATTGTATCACAGCAAAAGTAGGCGCGCAGTTCATGGAACAGCTAGGGGGAGAAAAGCGTACAAAATCAGGGAATGGTGATGACAACACGCAATGAAACAATTTAACAGTACAGTGTGACAGTGACCGCAGGAGTTTTACCTGTCAACGTAAACTAGTTTGAATGTAGAGACGCACACTGTGCAATTGTGGTTCAAACACACATGATGAAAAAGCTATAGAATAAAAATAACTGATTTTTTTTTTTTTTTAGTAACAGATGAAAATTGCAACAGTTTGCAAAAGGGCTGAGGTGTTACACAGGGACAGATGGTTCTGCACATTTTACAAGACGAGGCAGCAGGTTCGGCCCCCATGCTCTTGCTAGGCATTGCAGAGCTATGACAGAGCTGGGAATCTGGCCATCATGCTTCTCCTGAACTCGAAAATGTCCTTGTTCCTCAAAATTCTTGAAGAGCTCCACAGTGAGTCTGATACCACTTCTGTGCTGGAATACAGTCTTCAAACAGTGGTTTATTTTAAACACCATGGGCTCACCAACATCAAGGTGTTTTGCTTTGTTTGGCTCAGTGGCCCTGCACTGAAGAGAAAGCAGCAGGTTGGTGAAAGCAGGAATTAAGAGTCTGGCCAGATATGGTTTTCTTTTGAGCTTTCCAAGAGCGCTGGTTTTGCTATTAGGTATCGCCAAGTTTTATGCCGCAAGACCAGGCAAATCACTTCTGACATGGACATGGATTGAGGGCTTGTCATCAAGTTGTAAGCGTGTTCTTGATTGGGGGGGCAAACTTTTCAAGCCTAGCATGCTTCAGTAACAGCTGTGGCTTGGCAAAGAGCAACAGTCGCTTGAACATCTGCTATGACCCAATGTAATCCTCACTGTGTTCATTGTGATAAAACTCTTGGCAGGCAGGCTCCCCCTCTACCTTGTGGCAACTGATTACACAGCATCCAAGTGCTCATTGTGATCATCTGATTGGCCCTCCCGTTTAGCAGAGCATGAAAACTTCACCCAGTCCTTCCTGCATCAAGTCCATCCTCTCTCTCATTGCTGGGGTAAGGCATCTTACTTTTAGAACATCTTACCGTAAGTTGAATATTTTATGTGATGGAGAATAGAATCAAAATCCACAGGGCACAGAATAAAAGCGAAGTGTAGGATGCTCTTTTCAGAAGTGACCTGAAGGCCTTTGTGTTGATGGTTTTCTTAGGTTGTGCAGAACAACCCCAAGCCACATGGAAGAGGAGAAATGGACAGGTAATTTAACCTGAAACTGGACTGATTTTCATTCACTACTCAGATCACAGAGCTTGTATGAGGTTGTCATTTCGTGTAGTGGAAAGCAATAACACATCTGTTTTTCATACCATGCACCATCAATCCTGGCACTGACATTAGGACGTATTTTAGAAGCGCTTCGAAGCTGTTCCACGACCAGTGGTCCTTGCAAGCGGGGCACTTGTGCAGCTGCTCAGGAGCGATTCAAATGCTGCCCAGCTGATTAGCAGAGAGCCCACAGCCAGGTTTTTGTTTCTACTGGTGGTGCACATGCTTCAGTTCACATAACATTTATTGCATACACGGCTGGAAAAGATTAGCGGGAACATGGGCTTTGATATATTTATACCACAGCTCTCTGGGCCAAGCAAAGCTCAGCTGTTTACGTCAAAAAGTAGAAGGCCCAGCGCCGTTCAGCATGAGCAGTTCTCTCTCAGACGTGCCTGTGTGTGATTTGGGTGAGACGTGTGGACAGAACTTCAGCAAACAGTTGTTCCATTATGGAAAAGACTGGGCACTTTATTTGCAGGCACCTCGCATTGTTCGTGTCCACATTCGACTTGTGTAATAACTGATGAACAGTAAAAGGTTTTACTGGATATGAAATAGCCCAGGCTCTGTGGATGCAAGAGTTAAAACGTCTCCACCAGATTCCAGCTTGCTTTCTTTAACAAACCTGCTGTTTCCCTCCCATCTCCAAAAGGTTTATTTCTCCCCCGTGTGGAGATAAGCCTCACCAAAGTCTTCTAGTCAGGGATTATGTCGCTGCATGGGCTGCACTGGTCTTGTGCCGGCCCTTCTGCATGGGGTGGATTTTACAATGGACCTGATCCTGCAGCCCGTTGAGTGTCCACTAATGCTAGAGGACTGAACTGCAATTATGCAACTTACCACTGGGGGATCGGATCAGCTCCTTGACCAGAGGCGACCCCGTCGAGTTTGAAATACCAATTTCACTGCACAGCTGGCAAACTTCCCACAACCTGGCAATTGGGGTTGCAACATCGGAGGGCAAAATTCTGATTGAGCTGCGAGAGCCCAGAGACATTTACACAAACTGTTGCTGTAACACATGGCAGCCTCTTCCTTCCCAGCAGGTCCTTTCCTTGGCTAGGGCTCCTCCAGCACTTGCTCGGCTGCTGAATGCCGCTAATAGAGAACAGCGCCCAACCTTAAGTGCTGTCTCACCATTTTGCTGCTAAGCATTCTCAGACCCAGGCACTAGTTTGGAGGATTTCACTTGATTGGTGCTGGCTGTGCATTGGAGGGGGAGGTGGGGAAATCTTTCGGATAACAGTTCATCCGTCCATTTGGGGAAGGCACAGGTATGTGTCACAAGGGGGGACTGGAGGCTCTCACTCAAAGAGTGCACAGTAGTCAGGTTCCAGGCCCTGCTGGCCACATGGGTAAAGCAGTAGTTCCTTCCCCACAGAAGTGATGGGCTCCTCCTGTTGGCCAAAGGACAGGCGTTAGTCTCCCCCATCTGAAATTAGTGCAGACGCACTTCGGCGCGGGCAGCCTGTTAGGGTGAGCGGACAGCTTGCTGTCGACTCTGCGCTAGCACAGGCATGGCTTAGCCTGACCATCTCTCATTATCAGGGTGCAGAGTTCAGAGCCTGCCCTAGCCCCTGGAGTAGCTCCACAGACTTGTGGCACTGTACGGCCTTGGCGGTGTATGACCTTGTGCAGGCCTCATAGCACAGTTTAAATGATACAATCCAATCCCCTCAGGCTGTCAGGAGCTTTAACACTCGGCTCTAACTCTCCCTTGGCCACAGCCTCCCCACCACTGGTCACTGCTTCAGAGAAGGGCTTGTCTTATCCCTTTGCATGAGCCGTGTGCACTGCTGGGCACCATGCCAGCCACGATCTACCTCCCCTTGCTTACCTGGAAGGTACAAAAAAAAGTGAGCCAATTAACCTACCCCCCACACTCCACCCTTCAGCTCTGTCTTCTCCCAGACTGTGGTGTCTCATTCCTCCCGCTGGCTGCAGCTGGTCTCCTGCTCAGCTCTCGTGATCTAGCTGGAGCAAATGGATTCAAGTACCATGCTTGGCAGGAAAGGGGAGACCAGACAGCTACATTTCTCTTGGGTCCCAGGGTGGGCTTTGCTAGGAGGATGGTCTTTTTGAGAACAGTAATGTCATTTAGGGGAGTTTGAATGTGAGGTGATATTCACGCAGGGGAGAGGGACCCGATGAGGCCCAAGCAGCATTTAAGTGCCCTGTTCTGAGAATGTACGCGGAACAAGCAGGTTAGCTTTATGTCAGTCCTCTGCCCAGGACTGAGCTTCTCTGAACGCCAACAAGTTACTGCTCAGTGAAACAGGCTTGCAAAGGGGTGTAAGTGTATTCAGTGAGCTGGTACCACCTGTCAGTCACCGCTGTACTCTCTCCAAGCAGCACTGGGACTCCACTGGAAACAAGATCTGCTTTCATTCTTGCCTTACACACCAGAACGAATGGCGTAACTAGCTGGCTGGCTTGTCTGACTGCTGCAAGCCAGACACCAGACGGCAGTGCCCCAAGAAAGGTCGCACTTTAGAGCGGCCACTTTAGAAGCTCTCAGGGTGAAATTCAGTCCTGTGTAAAGGGGCAGTAAAAGGCCCAGGTGCCCAGTACGTGCCACCGCCTCCTTCACGCTAGGGCTGATGTGATGTGTGACCTGAGTGCTGCAATAGGGCAATCCCCACCCCAACCAACAAATGACCTTCATTGCCTCCACTCACTCATACTCTCAGCTGGCACTTGGCACATGAGAGATGCCGAATCCTGAATCAGAAACAATGGGAAACTATTGCAGAGAGAGGCCCACCCTGCTTAGCTCGGCTCCGGGCTACTTTAGCTACGGATGGTGCCTGGCTTTTATCAGCTGTATTGCTCTGTAGCCCTACAGTTCCCAGCAGACAGTTTGTGGAAGGGAAAAAATCTAGGGGCAATCCTGAATCACGTCACAAGGTTGCTAGGAAAGCTGGTGTGTTGATAAACTCACCTTCATCTGCGGGTGGTTATCGTTTACATTACGGCAGCCTGTGCTCGGAGCTGTACAGACAGAGCGCGTCTCTGCCCGGACGAGCTTTAGCCCATTACAAAGATGAATTGTAACAACAAGCAGGGAGAGGGGCTCACCTTGTGGTAGTCGACAAGGTCGGCCAGTGTAGAATGCTGCAGCTGGTCCACTCCCAGGAAGCTGTAGGAGCTGCTGGAGGCGTCTATTAGAAAGTGCTTACAGCCCTCCCGGGACACATAGGAGAGTGTGTAGCCTTTGATTTTGTCACTGACCCGGACCAGAAAGCTACCGGGCACAGATTTGCTCAGAAGCTCCTCTGCTTGCCATAGGGTGAGGATCCCTGCCAAAACCAAACCAAAGAGCTTACAGGAGAGCAGCACTTCGTGGCGGGCTGAACGTAACGGTGCTAATTTTGGTCTGTTTTAACCTTCTAAACTCATCTGTGGCATTTCCATCACGCTGGACGTCTCAAAGCACTTCACAACCTCACCACTTGCTCTAGGCCCAATCGTAGCCCCGCTCACTAGCCGTAAGCCAGCGAGCATGACTCCAGGCAGCTGGGATGTCATCTACTGACTAGATTACAGCGAGTGCGGGTGGGCCTGCCTGGCTGGCGTGTACACAGACCGGTAGATGCAGTGCATAGCTGTGTTACCTGGTCGCAGATGTGCCCACACCCAAAAGGAAACAGCTCCTTACTGAAGTGTACACACACACACCCCAGGAAACAGCTCCTTACTGAAGTGTACACACACACACCCCAGGAAACAGCTCCTTACTGAAGTGTACACACACACACCCCAGGAAACAGCTCCTTACTGAAGTGTACACACACACACCCCAGGAAACAGCTCCTTACTGAAGTGTACACACACACACCCCAGAAACAGCTCCTCAGGAAACAGCTCCTTACTGAAGTGTACACACACACACCCCAGGAAACAGCTCCTTACTGAAGTGTACACACACACACCCCAGGAAACAGCTCCTTACTGAAGTGTACACACACACACCCCAGGAAACAGCTCCTTACTGAAGTGTACACACACACACCCCAGGAAACAGCTCCTCACTGAAGTACTCAATCAAGGGCCCCATGCCAGTGTTTTGTTTCTTTTGCTTGACTTAGTATTTTTGGATCTGCTTCTGCACAGCCGCCCCCACCCCCTCCTTAAGCTAAGACACATGCTGCAGCCTTACTTGTTCCATGAGCAGCCTAACACACACACTTGGCCGACCCGGGCCAGTGATGTCTCTGCCTCATCCCCTCCCCCACCAGCACTGTGGGGTTGGCAACCCCAGCCATTCTCCAGCAGCTGCTTAGAGAGCTGCAGAGGCAAAGGACCAGAACCGACATCTGCCGAGTCCCACGCTAGCGCTTCAGCCTGGATAGCTCTGCCGCTGGCGAAGCACCCGGCTGCAGCATCGCTTCGAAAGCGGCATCTCCTGGCCAACGCGGAAGGGCTTTCAGGCCGATCCATTGAGCAGCCAGACGCATTGAGCTGTTGAAGCACATTTGTTGTTTGGGCACAAGTGCCCCTCCAGAAGAGCGACTGGCCTGGGAATGCTCCTGGTGGGTGGGAAACGCCCCTCTTTTTCAGATCGGCCACGTCGCACTGTGTGGCTTCGTCCCATTAGCCGGTGTCGTCCCAACCACCACGGCTCCAGGGGTCTGCAGCGCCAAACCCCTGGAGACGTGGTGGTTGGCACATTTACAACACCCCGGGCTCGGCCTGATGCTCTTGGGTTAAAATCATTTTCCTTCTCCCATGTGGGTTGCCTGCCACAGCTGATGATTAGAAGGTCAGAGAGGGGAAATGACTTGGCCAAGCCCCTCCAGCAGGTCTGTGACAGAACCGAGAGCCAGTCCCCCACCTCTGCACTGCTCCATGCTCCCTCCCTGGCTAGGTCTCCTTGCTGTCACTTTTGTTAGTGGAGTGGAAGAAGTTGCCCAGATTTGTTGCTACCTGTTCTGGGTCGTTGCTCTACCCAGCCTACCTCTTGTGTCTTGATACTGTCTTTCCTTGGTGTCTTATTGGTCTTGGGGTAGGTCCCAAATGCCCCAGTCATGGACCAGCGCATTGCAGAGCCAGGTGCTGCACAAACCTAGACCGAGCAGGCAGTCCCCACCCCAAAGATCTTGCAGTCCAAGTGCCTGCACCATATGAGAAAGGATCTTGTAAGCCCTGGTCTGGCAAGGCACTTAGCACACGCCTGTACACATGGAGCTGCTCCACAGACTTCAAGCCAAACCAAGGATCTGGCTGAAGATTTTCTACTAGCAGGAGACTGGTCATGATGGGTGAAGGGGAAGGTGCTATCCATGCATGTGGCAGCAGAGGGACATCCAATATAACATGTGAGCTGCAGTTTGTGCTCAGGGACACGCATGGGTCTGCAGACATTTCTGCAGCCGGGAAAGGACCTGAGGTAACTTCCCACTGAGCACTCTCCTAAGGCCAGGAGAACGTCCAGGGGCTGCAGTACTCACCATGGAACCAGGGCGCTATCCTGTTCGTGGATTTCTCATAACCAGCCCGAAGAGGAAACTGCTCCTCTTTAAACCACCTGGTGATGCTCTCCTGGGTGGAAGAGGAGATGGTTCTCTGCACGCCTGGGTTGCTGTGGGTCCAAGAGACGCTCGGTTTGCACAGGGAGTTCAGCATCCAAGTTCTCTACAGACTCTTCTACTGCACTCAGCTCTGTGGTGCCTGAGGCCCATGTGGCCAAAGGTGTGTAGGCAACAAACATCAAAATCAACCCCAGCTCAGCCCTTAAATACCTTTGAGTGCCCAGGCCAGAGCACCTGCAGTAGCAGCTGCTCTTTGTCAAAGCTTAGATCTTGGGGCTTTGATGCTCTCCTGTTAGATGGATTAAAGATGGCCTCTCACAGATCTGACATGGGGGGTAATTTCTAATTATTGTATTACTGGTGGTATTCACCGCTGCCTGACTTCTAGGAGCTTACTGGCAATGCTTAAATAGACAGCTGGGACACGGGTTTGCAACTAGAGCTGGCTAGAGAAGATTTATTCTCTCTCCTTAGGGAAACAATGTGAACATATAAGTCTGTCAGAATTTCTCTTTGAAATTCCCCAGATTTCTGCCAAACCTCAGAGAACTGTATTTTTTTAAACAAACTGAAAAATTGACAAAACTTGAGAGAAAAATTGTGAAGATTTCTACTTTGTTGCAACGCCATTTCCCACAGATTAAACAAGCTAATGAATAACTGTTGGCTGGTGCTGTTCATCCTTTACTCTCCATTTTTTGAGGAGTAACATTAGTTTGAACCAAGGGGTTTGATTTGAACTAATGTGGCTCGGAGCACACTTCCTGGTTCGAATCAGCTGGTGCTCGGAATAGCACGTGGGGGAGATTATGCTAATGAAGTGCGAGATATTTAAATCCCCACTTCATTAGCAATTTCAGTTGCCTACATTTGCATCCCTAGTTTGAACGAGGGTGCAAGTGTAGACATGCTGAGTGAATCCAGCGGAGCCACTTCAGTGCAAGGGGATCCCAAAGCACACACTCGGTAGAGACAGAGGCTGAGGAAACCATGGAGTTAACACCAGCTGACACTGCTTGTTATCCTTAATTAAATACTAAGTCTTGGATAATCACAGTCTTCATTAATGAGGACTAGATCTGCCGTGCATAGAGCACCCTGCCTCAGAAGAACATGCAGCGCAGACAGACCGTGTCTGACGGAAGATGCCACAGTAGTGAATGAAGGTTACTAATCTCTAAGGCCTGGAAGCACCACAACAAAATGATGCCAGACACCTTTCAGCACTGGGAAGGGGGCAGTTCTTACCTGTTGGGCCTCCCATTTGCTACCCCAGAGTTTAGGTTTTTAGGCTTCGGTGGAAGGGGTGGACGGGGGGGCAAGTTGTTCTCCTTGCTCCCAAAAGTCTTGGAAACTTCGGCGACCTTCCCTTTGCGGATGCCTTGCAGCGACAGCCTGTGGTAGTCATCCCTGGCCTGCTTTGCAATGGAGCGTCTCCTCTCATCAGCGGCTTTGGACTTCCTCACTGGAACAGAAGGAAGGCTTTGAAATGTGTTGCCTCTTTAAACAGCCCCAGGCTAGCTGCAGCTAAGTAGATGCCTGTGTCGTACAGGCTAGATGGTGCTCCAGCTGCTCCCCAACCCCAGCTTGGCATTCACCTCAAACTCCTCTGCTGAGGGACCCGTGGCCATGCAGTAATGGGGGAGGGACGCAGAAAGAATTCATTACTGGTAAAGGGAAGAGGGGGCATGACTGGAAAAGGTTGGGCACCACTGTGGTACAGTCACACAACCCCCACACCACAGCCCTGTGTGTAGATCTTTCATACAGAAACTGAGCGACAAAAATCCACCCACAGGCAAGAAAAGGGGATTGTGAAACCACAACAATCAGCAGCAGATTTACAGACTGTTGGAGGACCTCAGGCTACTTTTGAAACTGACTAGTTTCCAAGGCGACCATGACCTTGGGAATGGAGCTGTGTAGGGACAAATCCAGAGGTTCTAGAGCGCAGGGTGTAAATCAACACGCCAGGGGTATGGTAGCAAAAGGCTGACATAAAATGCCCCAGGACAGGATGGATGTAAATGGGTAGCTAGAGGGCTTGAGCAAGGGCCAGCACAGAGACAGCCTGAAGGAGTAGTGTCTATTTAGTCGCCTAAGGTCACGTCTATACTTAGCACGCCAGAGATCCATCTTCTGGCATTCGATTTAGCGGGTCTAGTTAAGAACTGCTAAATCAAATACTGAGGGCAGCTCCAGCCAGTGGTGGTACTCCTGGCAGTCGCAAGGACTAAGGGAAGCCGACTCCAGCTACGTATTTTATGTTGCTGGAGTTGCATATCTTAACTTGACCTTCCAGGTCTTAGTGCAGACCTAACCAAAGTAATACCTAATTTTCATTAATACTATGCACCAGTAGTTCCCTGTTGGGAGCTGCCGGATACTCAGTGTTTTGACCATCAGAGCGATTATTTAGTGGCCTTGGTAAGGCCTACATTTAGGGACCAAACTAGAAGTGAGATGTTTGTTATACACCATCACCATCTCCCGCACACCCACGGAGACAGCTCCAATGCAAAGAACGCATCTGGCCCTCAGCCAATAACTACAGCAACTCCTGGGCGCAACAGGCCAAGTTGTGGAATCTGGCAGTGGGGCAGTTTTACCCCACAGAGCCAACCCTGAGACACAGCACTGGGCTGGACGTATCCAGGCATCTTCCAATCTGGGACTTTGCAGAATTTTGTGTTCCATTAATTTTGGGGGGGGAGGGGGGGGACGACAGTTTGATCTTCAGTTCTGAAGGGAAACTATTTTCTAAGCGTCTGTATTTCCCCTGGGATGAACCCCTATTTCCCAACTTCCTCTAGTCTTCTCACTACAGAGCCATGTGACAGCCAGGCCGGCTTAGCTGTCTAGAGCATTGCGTTGATTAAGGCCCCATACATCAGCCAAGTGACCAGCTCCTGTTCCACAGAAGAATCTGACCAGTTACAGGGAGGGGAGAATAGGAAAAAGGGCGACGCCAGCCTCTCACAGGATTCCTGCCACTCAGGATCGTCCTTATCCGATTTCTGCACCGACTCCGTGGCCTCCTTCTGGTTGGGGTTAATGTGCGGTGTCCTCTCTGCGGATGCTCTTATGCCTCCCGGCCGCCTCCGTGAAATATCCATCCCCTGCTAGGAGACAGAACGTGTAATGCCTAGTGCCGGCCCTGGCTTCCACTGGTGGCCTTTGGCAGGCTCCGGACACCAGGTAGGTGTGTCCTTTCGCGTCTCCTGTGAAATAACTGGGGTTCCCCAAGACATGGACCCTCCCCCCTACCTGGGAGCCCAGCTGCACAGGGGCTTCTGGGGTCCATTCGTGGGCACAGGCTAAGCAAATCGTCAGCCCAGGGCAGGTTGGGCTAGAGGGATACGAAGTGACATTAAACAACGCTAAAGGTCAGATCATTAGGGGTGGCCAAGGAGCACTGCAGGGGACTCTTTTATCCTTGGCTGGCGCAGCACCAGCCCAGTCCTCCACACAGAGAAGAGCAGCTGCCAAAGCCCCAGCCCGGGGCTCGTCGGCACCTTACGGTACCCTAGTGATTCTTGTTTCACTCACAGCCAGCACCTGCGCCACGGCCAGCTTTGCTTTCAGCCTCCCAACCCACTCTCAGAGCTGCTTGTAGAGGAAAGAGTTCGGAGTCCACCCAGAAAAGCACTTTGGCTGTATCTGTCCAGGGACGGTGGCGCACAGAGCAAGTCTGGCAAAACTGTAATGCTACACAAGAACAGCCAGACTGGGTCAGACTAAAGGTCCATCTAGCCCAGTGTCCTGTCTGCCCACAGTGGCCAATACCAGGTGCCCCAGAGGGAGGGATCACAACAGGTAATCCTCATGTGATCCCTCCCTTGTCACCCATTTGGAGACAAACAGCGGCTAGGGACACCATTCCTACCCATCCTGGCTAATCGCCATTGATGGACCTAACCTCCATGAATCTATCTAGCTCTTTTTTGAACCCTGTTAAAGTCCCAGTCTTCACCGCATCCTCTGGCAATACTGCGCAAACGGGTTGTTGAGCGTGGAGAGGAGAAGAATTTGAGGGGACTGCTGAGACAACAGGGGTGCTGAGAAAGGGCCAGCCCCACACACGGTGTGCCAGCCGCGGTGTGAGGTGAGGATAAAAGGCACTCGAATGCAGTGGCAGAAGCAGGGAGTGGACTTTGCTGCGGCAGGCTGGTGCACGGTTAAATCCTGGGGCTGGATTTTTCAGCAGGCTGGTTCTTCTGTTTGGAGCTACGCAGGCTAAGACAGAAGGGTGGTGTTTGGACAAAGGCCAGGTCAGTGCAGAGTTCCCACGTAAATCTCTCCCCAGTTCCAGGGGTGTAGCCGGGGGATACAGTACCGTGTTTGGCAGTCTTGTCTAGCTAGACAGGGAGATTGTCTTTGGGCCGGGGCTGTCTCCCCTGAGACAGCGTGTGCAGTGCCAGGCACAGCAGGGTTTCAGCCATGCCTGACTGAAGAGAGGCTCTTCCTGCCCATCTTTTAGGGGGTGTAACTATCCTGGGAGCTATTGAGCCAGTGGGGGGGCCTGAGGCACAGAGTCCAGCCCCTGCAGGGGCGAGTTAAGAGCACCCCAAGCTCACTGCTTACCTGCTGAAAGGCAGACTTCCTCGGCTGAGCCTTGGCTTCTGTTAACATCTGGTTCAGGTCTTTGCCTTTACTGGGGGTAGCCTAGACATGCAATGGCAAACAAACCCAGCATGAGCCCTGGAGCTCTTCCCAGTCCCCGCCGCTCTGGCCCCAGATTCAAACGTCGGGCTGGAGGTTTCATTTAAAAACACACTGGTGGTGGCCCTGTTAATGCTCACCCTGTGGCTGGAGCCTGGGCGCCATGCCCCCTCCTTGGGAATCACACACAGGGTGCTCATTCCAGACCCTGCAGTTCATCCTCCTACGGGATTGTTTACACTCTATCAGCTTTCCTAGTGCTACAGGTGAGTGTCTCTCTTTCCCAATATCTCAGAGAGGGCCATGCTCACAAGCGAGGCCTGGTTGTGCTGGGTGCTGTACAGTGAGTTTAAAGCATGAAGAAACAAGACAAGGGGTGGCTGAAAGGCAAAACCAGCACTCCCCCCCCCCCCCCCCCCGCAGAGAGGAGGACTAGAGAGGAAGATTAGGTGACTTGCCCCAGCACAGATAAAGTCTTTGGCAAAGACGGGCCCAGACTCAGCTCTTACAAGCCTCGCTCCAGTACCTGAACCCCAAGTCCATCATTCCTTCACAGAATCACAGAACCTGGAGGGACCTCGTGAGGTCATCGAGTCCAGTCCCCTGCTCTCACTGCAGGACCTAGCACTGTCTAGACCATCCCTGAGAGGTGTCTGTCTAACTGGGTGTTAAATCTCCAGAGATGGAGATTCCACAACCTCCCCAGGCAATTGATTCCAGTGCTTCACGACCCTGACAGAAAAATTTTCCTAATGTCCAACCTAAACCTCCCTTGCTGCAGTTTAAGCCCATTGCTGGTTGTCCTATCAGAAATGAAGAATCATTTTAATAATAATAGTAATTTTTCTCCCTCCTCTGCGCAACCACCTTTTAGGTACGTGAAAGCTGTTATGTCCCCTCTTGGTTTTCTCTTTCCTACCGTATCTCACTGAGCCCTAGTCCCTACCCCATGCCATCAGAAAGGATGGAGGAACTGAGAACTCAACAACTTCCAAGCATTGGACGCCCCTGACCTAGTGAGAAGGAAGAAAGGACCCCTGTAGCCTGCAAGACTCTGTATGTATCTGAATGAGTCACTTTCTGCATTCTAGAGCCCTCCCCTCCGAATGCAACCCTCCAGGTTAGAACTGGAGAAACCCAGACTCAAGTGCATGCTCTGCCACAGACTTCCTGTGTGACCTTGGGCAGTTCACTTAGCCTTGCTGTCCCTTATTCTCATTGCATGGGTGGGGGAGTAACAGCCATGCCCTAGCTCACAGGCTACTCAGTTAGTGTATGAAAAACCCCAAGGTGTTCGAACCCTGCAGTGACAGGGACCCTGTCACTATTACAGACTGACTCTCCAAAGCCACTGTCTCTGTTGGCTGAGAGCGTTTGCCACCCGTCAGAATCCCACGTACTGTGCTCTCAGGACGGGGATGTCTTGTACTTGAAGCCAAACACAGCTGGGACTCTCTCTGAACCCTCCCACGTGGACCACTAGGGATGTTAAAAAGTGGGCTTTTTTGTAAACATGTAACCACTGGACATTTTTTCAGCCGGGTCCCCGTGGGTACCAGCTCCCATGGAGTCACCTGCTCACCCCTGCACTGCAGTGCCTCATTCTTCAAAGCAGAGCTGAATTGAGATACTCCCCTAATCCCATGACTCCAGGAGCGGAGACTTTAAGAAAATCACCCCATGCTGGAAGACTTGCAATACAAACTATGAGAGCTGGAACACTGAGATCGCCCCACAGATGTCTTACTGTCAACCCAGGCTCAGTGGGGCCAAAAGCAAGCCTTGAGTTACCTTGCTGTTGTACGTTGATGACAGAGCCATGGGCAATGTTAAATACATACTCACAGTTCTACACAACAGTAAGAACTAACCCAAACCCGGCTGGACTCCATGGAAGTCTTTCTGCTAAACTTCAATGGCCTTTGGTGCAGGTCTTAAACATGCCAGTGATGTGTGTGGGTAACAGATCTTTAGCTCGGCAGCCATTTCTCCCATGAATAACAGTAAGTGGCTAACACTCCAATGCATCGCTAACCCATTTCTCTGCAACCACTTTAAAATAATTTGTAACCCCACAGTAAAACTGCCAGAGAGGAAACTCTCTCCACAAGCAGGGTCATATCCAGCTTTTGAAGACATAAAATAGCTTTAACTTTACAGAAAGAAATACAAGCAGGCCCTTTAAAACAGCAATACCGACATCTTTGCTAAGGCCCATTCCTAAATATGCTAATTACCTTACCCATTACAAAGATAGCTTCCCCACTTATCACCCCTGATTAGCCATTGATTGACTCATAAATAGCTATTCCCTCCCTCCCTCTTCCTCACCCCACCTTCTGTACTAAATCTGATTTGTCAGTTTAATAACGTGTTCACTTTTTTCATTGTATTCCTTTGGTATATATGGTCATGCCAATTCTCTTCCAGAATATGATCTGAGGAAGTGGGTCTGGCCCACGAAAGCTCATCACCGAATAAACCATCTTGTTAGGTCTTTAAAGTGCTACATAGTTTTTCCTTTTGTTTTAGTAAGATCAGACTAACACGGCTACCTCTCTATTACTGTTCTTCGTTTATGGCTTGTATTACAATAGCACGAGGCGTCCCAGAGTCACTGATGCCCATTCTGCCCCACAGCCCCCCCGTGCCCTGCCCCCGAAGAGTTCACAGTTCAAAGGATAAGGGGGGAGGGATTACAATCCCCATTTTACAGAGGGGAAAGTGAGGCATGGTTAAACAAAGTGCCTCGTTGCTACAGAGAGGGTGGTATGGTTCAGAACAGGACCCCTCGCCCTTCCCCCGGCAGTTCCTAGTACGTTAGCCACAAGACTATCCTCCCTCTCAAGGAGGCTGCTCTGCTGAATTGTCTGGCTTTTCCAAAAACATACACAAAAGGAGCCTATACAAATCAAAAGGCTGGTTTCCATTCATGTTTCAGTGTATCCAACCCTGGCCCCATTCAGCTCAGAATCCTTGAAACCCCCGGCTTGTGAAATTTTGCACCCCAGAAAGCACATACCTGAGCAAGATCCCTGCTTCTCTCCTTTTGAACCGCCGTTACCGCTTCTTCCTCTTCCCTCGCTCCAGTTTTTTCCTCCTCCTTTTTGCGATCTGCCTCTCCCAGGGATCCCTGCTGAGAGCCCAGGGACCCTGGAGCAGATGCTTCCAGGAATGTTTCACTTCCTCTGTGAAGACACCAAGCAGGAATTTTGGAAGGGACTCAAGAGCCCTCAGCCTTTCGCCTTCCAAACCAGGATGCGACCTGGGAATGATGCATTTGGCAGCCCAGCAGCAGCTCACAGAGAGGCGAGCCCAGCCTCCGCACCAGGAGCCCCGACAAGTCACGTCATCACTGATGGAAGTCTGATTGGGCGAAGGGCGGCTCCTTCGTGCTGGAGGCAGGGGGCATGGGGAGACGCCACAGTATCCACCGTCTGCCTCCTCTGCCATCTGCAAATGGCCTGGGACAATCCAGCCGACCAGGGAACCCCTCCCTCAACTGCTGATTCGGAGCAGGTAAAACAACCCAACCAGCCCCCTTCCCCAGTGCTAAATCCCCCCTTTCATTTATGGCCAGAGTCCGCTGCAAATCGCTGGTTCGCAGGCAGAGCCACTCCAGGGATTTGCTCACAACGTTAGTGATCAATCTCCCCCCCTTCCTTAGGGGCCAGCCCTGCGCCAAGATCGCTTTGGCAGCCTCAGAGCCCTTCTCGGACGGGGCAGGCCTCAGCTGCCCAGGGAGACACTGGACTCTGTGCCTGGTAGCTGACCCTCAAAGGGTTTGTCCGGGGGCAGCCCAGGCGCCGCCCGCCGGGAGGAAGGCACAGCCACTGGCATGCGGTCAAGAAGGCAGCAGCCTGCCAAAGGGACTCTCAAGAAGCCGCTCGTCAGGGCTGATGAGCCGGCCGGCAAACTCCCCAGCCAGGAAGGCCAGCTAAAGCTCCCTGCGACATTCGGTCCAAGGCACGTTCCCCAGGGCTGGCCACGTCTGCTACCCACCTAGGGCTTTCCCAGCTTCCACCAAAGCTTGGAGGGGAGGGATGCCCCCTTCCCACACAGTGTCTCACCCACACAGCACTCCCTGCCCCCTTGCAGCTGCCCCAGACGCGAGAAGCCTTATGTCTGACTCCCTGTAGGTTACGTGCTTGCTCCCAGTCACGTGCCTGCAACTCCAACACCCTTTTCTTGTAAGAGCCCAAGCCCAGATCTCCTTAGACACACAGGTGCCTAACTCCCCTGGACGCCAGTGAGAATTAGGGCCTGATTACGCGTGAGGATCTAGACCCAGGTGCCTAAAAGGGACACGTCCGTGTGACCTGGTGCCTCTCTATGGATGGAACATGTGTGGAGGAAGAAGGCAGAAATCTCCACAGACCACAGGGGAGAAACACACCGGACTTTGCACCATTCCAGCTCTCCTTAATCTTGTGCCAATTATTATAGATTCAAAAGCACCTTCCGCCTTAGCCACCGGAGGAGCTATCTGTTGCCTGAGTAACTGCAAACATGTCTGCTCCTGGGCAGAGTGTTGTCCTACCTGGCTTCCTGCTGCTGCTGAGCCCGCTGTGCCAGGATTTCCTCGCAGAGCACCTCATAAGGCATGTCCGACGTGTGCTCGCCCATCACCCAGACCCAGACTTCGCTGTCCGCGCCAAGCTTCCACTTCACCGTCTTCCCGTGCGCTGCAAGACAACCAGTCAGGGCACTGGCCGCAGAAGTCCCCGTGGCACTCACGCCCCTTCTGTGACTGAACATACCCCTCTAGTCACACCCCTGGGATAACGTTCGTGTTCAGGCCCCACCTCCCATGGCTCACTGGGTAACAATAGCTCCCTGATGGAGAATATGGTGAAATGTGGGTAGCTATGTCACATGGAGAGTGCTGACCATAGGCTGAAGTTACAACTGAAGTGCGTTCACCCAGTAAATCTGTTTCTGGAAGGACAAAGGACAAGCTGACACCTCTACCCAGGTGTCAAAGCTGACTGACAGCACCACTCAAGTGGCAGCAAAGGGGGAGGCCTGGAACAGCTTGATTTGCACTTGAATAAATGACATGGGACCTCTTTCCCCAGGAGACCCATGTCTCCACCCTCACAGCAGGAAGGAGCTTTCTCCAGTGGAGATGGGCAGGAAAGGGTGACCAGACTACACAAGAGAGGGCCAATCCCCCAGGTATTCTCTCTCTGTCTCTCTCCTCTTTCACGGAAGCCAACAAAGGAACCAGCCTTTGAACTGTGGGAAGGGAATTTAGTTAGCCCTTTGGCTGGAAAATGTGATATGGGCTTCACCTTGAACCAGGCTTATCTGGCAACTTGAAAGGGCTTTATCTTTATTTCCCCCAGGAAGCATTTCTGACTAATTCCTTATACTCACTTAAAAACCTATTGTCCTGTCATCACAAACATGTGAACCGAACCTTTTGGGGCAACTCCAGTGAAAGAACCAAACTGCTCTCCACTGACCCCTTGCAGGGGCAACGGTTCCCAGGACCTGGACTGCCCAGGAGAGGGTCAGGCAGAGCAGAATGTGCATTTTGGGGGGGAACTGGGGACGGGGAGTGTGGGGGGGCCCCTTGCAGGCAGTAAGCAAGGCTGCTGGAAGCTGGGCGGGGGCTAACAGGCTGTGGCTGAAGGTGGGACCTGCCGGCTGTGTGTGAGGGGCCCAGGTTGGAAGCCACAGCAGCGAAGCATTTGGGGCACCCCAGGGGGTGGGGCAGGTCCTGACAAAGGCCCTCACTGGTCTGGATTGCACCCCAGGACGTGCCACCCCATGGCGGGACCTGCAGGATAACTGCTTGGCCTGGGCAGGGAGCTGTCGATTGGACGGGAGTTGCCAAGCTACATTCAAAAAGCCCCGTTCGAGCGGCAGCAGCCTGGGTCAGATTCAGACCCCCTCCCCCACACAGGCAGGGCCTCAGGCCACAAGCAAACAGGCTGTAGTCAATGGGGTTATTTGCGCAGCAGGGTGTGATCCCAGGTGCAGGGCTAGGCCACAGAGGAGACAGTGCAGCCTCGTGGACAGAGCTCAAAACTGGAACGCGGGGGGCTTGAGCTGTATTTCCAGCTCTGCCACTGGTTTGCTGGATGGCCTTGGAGGAGTCACTGTGCCTGATTTCCCCCC